GAGAGAGCTCTGAGAGAGCTCTGAGGAGGGTCAGAGAGGGAGACACAGAATCTGAAACAGGCTCCAGGCTCTGAGCTTCCAGCACAGAGACCAATGCAGGGCTCGAACTCACAAACTGCGAGATCATGACCTGAGCCAAAGTCGGACACTTAACCGACTGAGCCACCTAGGCGCCCTTAAAAGGATTGTTTTAATAGTTTTGTTGTTGTTGTTTTTTGCTTTTTCAGATAATTGTGATATCCTTTGACATTACACCAAAGGTTAGTGGTTGACAGGGGCTGGGACTAAGAAGAAAAGGAGAAAATGGGGCGTTACTGGTAGTGGGCAGAGGAAAATGTTCAAAAACTATGGCGAGAGCCGTACAACTCTGCAATACAACTAAAATCATACACTTATATGAAATAAATTTTGTGGTATATCTCAAAATAAAGCTGCTTAACAAAAAAGAAAGAAAACCAATGAGCGTAGACTTAAACAGGGTGAGGGGTAGGAACAGAGACCTGTATCACAGGCAGGACCTTTAGGTTATGTTCAAGGTTGTAGAGTAAGAGCAATGGGAAGTCACAAGGAACTTTAGGTAGAGGTAGGGGAAAGTATTATGCTGAAACTTGTCAAGTGGTAGTTTCTTAAAAATTGTTGCAACATGGAATCTGAAAGTGCATCAATGAACTTTCCACACTCTATTGGTCTACCTTGTGCATTTAATGAAACTTTCACAGTTGTCGGATTTTGTAACATGCAAGTACTGGTCACCTGGAAAATACTGGTTCAGTGAGTTACACACATCTTCTAAGATGTTAAAACATTCCATTGTATACAGTATTTTTAAAAATCACATTTGTTAATATCACAACTAATCTCATCAGATATTCTTTAAGCACAGGGATGCTGTCAAGCTAATGGTGGCAGATACAAATTTTCCAGATTTCTAATTTTCACTCAGAAACAAATCATTGTATCATTTGCAACAAATACTAAGTATTCTTTTCCTTGAAGTGACAGGATCATTTTAATTATTTTTGAGAAAATGTCTGCAAGCACCCAGGTCTAAATAACCATTGGTATCTATCAGCTGTTCTTTCACGTAAAAACAGTAACTAGTCTAGGTTGCAACTCAATTGTACAAATGTTCTTCCTCAAGACAACCACTGTTCTTCAGTACACAACATACTAGGTATACTTCCTATTTCATCAAGAAAAATAATTAAAAAGCATGTGTTCAGAGATCAAGATTTAATGAAATTAATAATGATCATTTTTATAGCTTCATTAAGAATACTCTTAAGTGAAACTAGCATTTTTTTTTTTTTTTTTTTTAACTATGAGTGGATTGCATAAAGAATACAGTTACTAGTAGTTTGGTGTCACCATCACGATTTGTGCTCGGAAGCCAGCAGTTTTACTTGCTATTGCTTCTGCACCATTAGTGCAACTATCAACATGGTGAAGAAGGCAAATGTCCTAATTATTATGAAAATAGTTTCATCCCCCAGGGCCCAACAAAAGGGTCCCTGGGACCCCATCCCAGGGGTCCACAAACCACACTTGGAGAACAGCTGCCTCCGTGAAATTGAGGGAGCATTATTTACTAGGTATGTGATGCTGGGCAATCCACTAAACTCTTTTTAATGAGCTGTATTAAAAAAAAAAAAAATGATAGTACCCCTCTCCTTCCTCAACCAAGACTTAGTCAACAGGGTCAAAAGAGGTGAAAATATTTTGTATTATGTAGCAACATAAAAATGTAAGAGCTTATTAATACTTAAAATGAATGATATTTCAGTAGGACACCATTGACTTCATTCTGAACATAAACAAATTTGATTGTGACCAAATTTTATACATTTTGGTTTCTGTTGTTTCTCTAACAATCTTTACACTTCTATCTTAATTCAAATCCTCATAATCACTCACAAGCCTGACCTGTTAATCATAAACGTTGCTGCCAGCTAAACATATCTATTTTTATCATACCCCACCCCCACCTTGACCAGTCAAACTTATCGAGAGCTTTCCATTAAGAATATCTTCTTTTGTTTCAGCTGAATAATGTCTGATTGTGTCCATTTGTTTCTCTCTCACTTGCCAAAGCTGGCCTCCCCACTTCTACTTACTAAAATACCATCCCTAGCCTTAAGAGTCCAATTGTCAATTCTTTCTGGCCACCCAAATTGGATAATCTTATTCCTGTGAATATCTGGCACCCAAAGTCTTGTTACCTGGTATCTTCTCCTGTGCTTGCCTTTCCTTAACTAGACTGCAGTCTTTCTGAGAGTAAGTACTTCTTCCATTCTTATTCTCTTCAGCATCCAATAGCACAATGCATTCAGCCAGCTAATGGTCCTAGGTCTACTCTACTAGAGACCAGTATCAATGAAGTATTGACCTTCACAGCCAAATAAAGACCTAGAAAACTATGGTAGTTTAACTTGCTTTATAGACACAAGATCTATAACTCTTGTCATACGTGGTTTTTAGACAATGTTTTACTTCTAAGGCTTATTACTCAAGTGACAGGGCAAGGTATTCAGTATCACAGCTTAGAGTGCTTAGATGTGGCTCTGAGAGAAAAACAAACATACAATGATGCATATTAAGGTACATAAGTAGATCTAAGAGAAGCCTCTTTAGAAAGAAAGTAATAAAAAGCCTTAAAACACATATTTACAACATGCAAAAACAGTGCAATAGCATAAAAAATGAACTGAAATAAAGTCTTTTGGGCTAAACCAAGTTAAAAAGCATAAATTCAAGATGCAGACAGCAAAAAGAAACACTAGCCATGAGCTGTAGCATTTACTATTATGCAAAAAGCCTAACCAAGTAGACAGCAAACCAAAGGCAGAAGTTTTGTTCTGAAAAAGCAACAGCAACTGAAAGGAGGCAGTACTGTCAAGTGATTGAAAAACGCATGGGCTTTGGCACCAGAATGAGCTGGATTCAAATCCTAGCTCAGAAACTGTGCGCTGAGTAAAACTGCAAAATCCCTCCATGCTGAGAGTCCTTATTTGTACAATGGGGCAGTTACTACCTGCCTGCTAGAGTTTATGAAAGGATCAGAAATAATACACAGCAGTAAAAAGCACAGACTTTGAAGTCAGATGGGTCTGGGTTAGAACTGACTACATCTAATAGCTTAGATAACTTATGCCTCAGGTTTCTTATTTGTAAGATAGGTATAATACCACCTCCTCTGTGCTCTTATGAGGATAAATAAAGTAACATGGATAAATATTCTATAAAGTCTTAAAAGCACACCCGATATGTACTTTGTCCCTACAAGATATATGTACATACATTCATACATTATACACACACCCCACTTTGCATAGTGCCTGCCATTTTACAGATATTTAAAATGTCAATTATTGTAATTATTTCCTAACATAAGAAATTTCAGAATGATTATAAACTCTAAACTGTGGTTTTTTCATCTTCTTACACCCGATCTATATATGATTAACCAATCAGAGATGAATGGCAGTTCATCAATTATTCCAACTACAAATATTTCAGGATAATTCAGGGAGTGGAAAAAGGAACAAGCATAAAATGCTCACTAGTAGGAAGAAAATCCAGAAACAAGGAAATATTATAGGGAAGGAGTACAAATATGTATTAGACATATAAACTATTCACACTTTAAATTTACAATCCTGAAATTGTATGCTTACTTGTTAATACAAGTTATTTCCTATTTATTTTTCTGCCAAAGGCAAAATCAGGCATAAATTCAACTTTTGCCCACAACTATTCTTCATTTTACGCCATCCTACCTGCAGCCATCTTGAACCTAGACCAATTTTACTGGGTTACGGAGGAGAACTGATCTTGCCAATTCTTCAAAGACACTTTAAAAATTGTAAGCGTTAAGAAAGTGTAGCAACCATTTCATACTATTATTCTGTAGGACTGGAATTGTCGCATTCTGGTTTCTAGAAACCACTTATCTACCTTTCGTTATTTTTTGGTTTGTCTTTCTTTGTTAAAAAGGAGTTATGCATGCACAGGGTTTTAAAAAGGGAGTGGAAGAGCACAAGTATTAAATGTATCGAAAGGACTTAAATGAGAAGTTTCTCTCCCACAGCAGGACAACCCACTGTTAACAGTTCCTTTTTACATTCTGCCTAAGTCAAATAAAAAATGGGTCAGTTCTAACACTGAAAACTGAATAAAACCCCAGGAATGTACCATTTATGGGGTATGACAGATTGTCTTATTTGAAAACTTAAGAGTGCACAGAACATTCTCTTTTGTTCAACAAACTCAAAATGTCTAATAAGTAGACAATTATGTCTCCATCAGAACAGAAATCTATTTCAACACTTAATACCATCGAACAAGTTGGTAAGCTTTTTATGTCAGAAGTGTACTATTAACAAAGATAATACAATCCTGTTTTCAAATAAGAGGGTGTTACGTACCTGCAACCTTACTCCTATAAAAGACGTTCAAGTCATAAATAAAACTGTTTTGGTAAAGTGAATATTTAATACTGCCACAGCATGTTTAAAAATATTTGGTGATACATCCTTCCTTTTAAAAGTAAAAAAACAAAACAACTTACTTACGCCTTTACCACCCATCTGCTATGATAAATTCATATTTTCAGTTGTCCTTAAATGGGGAAGTATACATACAATTTTGTGAAACAGAAAAACATCATTTTTATATATGTCACTCTCTTTATTAAGAGACTTGCATATAATTTCATATGTTCCCAAACTTACCTTTTCATTTTTTTTATCTGTCTCTAAGGGCTGCTTTGCTGTTATACTTCGAGGAGTTCGGACAACTTCCTCGTCAGCCACTTCAACCGTCCGTCCATTCGGCTGCACAGGTAACAAAAGGAATCTTGTTATCAAACTGCTTGGAGGGTCAAATCAAAGATTTATATTCAAGAAACAGCATATACTACAATCAAATGCTACCCCCTGACCCAACTTTAATAGGTTTCTGTACAGCCATGTTGTAAGACTTGATGTGCTACTATCTCTAATAACTGTGTTTTGTAATATGATAATGAACCTATAAACAAAAGCCTGTACCACAAATAAATTTTCTGATCTCACCCAGGGTATCAGTTCCTCCAACAAAAACTCATGGAATGAAAGCAGGAATATGGGGAACTAAACTGTATTTGCACTCTCACCACCAATTAGTAGTGTAATCTCAAAACGTTTCACTCATTCTTTTGAGTCTTATTTCCACATATATAAAATTATAGATCTGGTCTATTCAAAAGCCAGTAAACTTTTTCGATAAAGGGACAGGAAATATTTTAGGCTTTGTGGGCCATATCATCTCTGCTGCAACTACAAAACAGTGCAATTTTGTACAAAAGCAGCCACAGATGAATAAATTGAGTGTGGCTGTATTCCAATGAAACTTTATTTGCAAAACACTAGTAGAGGGCCAGATTTGGTCCCTGGTCCATAATCTGTTGGCCTCTATATTAGATTATCTCTAATGCCTCTCGTAATTCTATTATCTAATGGTTCTACTGTTCTGGGATTAAGAAATTTACCAAGCCAGTGCTACAGCTTAAAAAGGTTACCTCAGCTTCAACATTCCGAAAATAAAAAGATATGAGTAAAATTAAGTTTGTGAATTCCAAGTCTGGGTTTTAATTAGAATCACTAGTTTTGGGGGTTAATCATCCCCCCTCCCCCCCCAAAAAAAAACCACATTTCTATGTTCTATCACCAGAAATATATTTAGATTCAAGAGTTTGAAGAATGGAGTCCAGGTATCTGGTATTCTAACCTCTTCTCTCTGGGTCCTACTATTTCTTTTCACTTGCTTATTCTCATACTCCAATAATTCAATGAGTTAGTAAATCAATATACTAGTTTCAGTTGCCTTATTTCCAGTTCTTGCAGAACAGACTTCCACCAGATTACTCATTATAGCAGAACCATACTCCAGAAAACAATAGCACTGCTCAAGTTTCTATAATGTGACTTTGCCAGAGTTTGTTCGAAATTATCAGGGATATACGGTTAAAGAAACAGACCATTAATATTCTAAAACCCGATTTGTAGGCTTTTCAAAGATTTATGGCAGAAAAGCCAAAACAAAAGCTGTCTTTTAGCTGACAAAAATCCTAATTAACCCCAGTTTAATCTGCTGGCTCTTAAGCAATTTGTTAAACTCAGATGCCAAAACCAGGTCTCCTTCCTCTTGATTTGGTTTTCTTTCTCCTGTGCTGTTGTGTCACTTTCACGCTGCTTCCTCTCACCAGCTTCCCTGTGTATGTACATGTTGGGGGGGGGGGGGTGGTACACAAAGAAGGGTAAGAAAACCCTGAAAGGAATCTGGACTTAGAGCAATAACTACATCAGGAATATAAAACCGTTTAATTCTACTTCCAAGATCAGCATCTCAATTGTCAGTTCTCATATGTTAGTTCTTATTATCCTCTTCAGCCAAACCTTTTCTGATTTCCTGTGGTCTGCTTCAGCTTCACCCTCTCTATACAAGCCTTATGCCCCCTGAACGATCTTGCAGCTTCAATTTCAGTTTCCAGTCTCTAACTGGAAGCTCACAGGCTTACATTTCTGAAACTTCACTTAACTAATCCCTTCAGGAAACTTTCCATCACAGTCGCTACTATAGCACTTCCATTTTATTCATGTAAATGACTACATGGAGTCATCTTAATTTATTAACTGCTAAAAGGTGAGGAATTAATTCGTCAAAAACTACAAAAAATTCAATGCAATTCCTTTGAGGCCAAACACAAACACTGGTGATACAGCCTCCCAAATGAAAGATGAAACAATCTCCTTTTGAACAAATATAAACTCTGAAGTCCTCAATCCCGTGAGCTACAGCAGGAACACTCAGTTTCCATTTCACAGACTCTGAAATGACCGGCAAGCCACAGGTGGTCCCACACTCCAACCTGTGCCATTTTTACTTCCTTCTTCGCAAGATGAATTTATGCAATTACTGTAACTGTAGCTGTTCCTTCGGTCTATGCAGATTTCTCAATGTTCCACTAACATTTGGGAGTCAGCAACAACCCTTCCTCAAAATGCCAGATAACATGAAACAATATGCCTCCTATCCCAACAGAACTCTTGGGCCCTATGAATAAAGGATACACAATGGCAGCTGTGCCTTTCCTACCCACCAGCAACACTCATCTGTCCTGCCACTAGCTGGTCAAGAAGGTCTTGTCCTGGAAAATCATTAACCACATTTAAATCAGCAAATCCAGAAATGGAGGCATATTATGTAGATCTGCTCACATGAAAGTAACTAAATGTAAGTAAGTTAATTAATTAAATAAAGGGGCGCCTGAGTGGCTCAGTCACTTGAGCCTCTGACTCGATTTCAGCTCAGGTCATGATCCCAGGGTTGTGAGACTGAGCCCCAAGTTGGGCTCCACACTGAGCATGGAGCCTGCTTGGGACTGTCTCTCTCCTTCTCTCTCTCCCCGCTCCACCTCCCCCCAACTTGTGCTTCCACTGTCTAAAAAAAAAAGGAAAAAGAGAAAAAGAGGAAGAGAAAAAGAAAAAGCAACTAACTGCAAACCAACACTTCAAATCCAACCTGACTGCCAACAGGGTTTTATCTTTTGTATCTTATACAAAAGGTATTATCTTTTCTCATCATGAAGCCTTAATATACACGTTTCCATAGATTAGCAATTATGCGGGCCTCTCACCGTAACCTAGTATAAAATTTTCTGGAAAACTTTGAGGTGTTTCCTTCCAGGGCCATCCAAAGTTAATTTCACATATAGAATATAAGCTATAATTTAAATTAGACAAGAACATCCTCCGAATTTGGTGAAAATCAACCAGAAACAGAAAAATGACATAATCATTTCTTAGATGGATAAACTCCTTATAGGCAATGCTATGTATGCTTTATTGTTATACATTCCCCAACTCCTACGCCACATCCTTTGAAAAACATATTCATGAATGAACATTGTGTGTGTGTGTGCGCGCGCACGTGCGTGCGTGTGTGTGTGTGTGTGTGTGTGTGTGTTGGGAGGGGTGGTAATAAACCAAAATGAAGATACCTAGCTGACAATCAAGAAAATAAAATGCAAAAAGGAGACACACAGGAGGGGAGCAGGGTCTCTTATTAAATAATACCTGATTTTGGAGCATCTGGGTGGCTCAGTCAGTTGAGCTTCTGACTCTTGGTTTCAGTTCAGGGCGTGATCACACTGTCCCTGGGTTCGAGACCCGCATTGAGCTCCACACTGCCAGTGTGGAGCCTGTTTAGGATTCTCTCCCTCTCTGACTCACCTCTCTCTCTCAAAATGAACAAACAAACTTTAAAAAATGCCTGATTTAAAGGAAATATAATTTTCATGTTAGTCAACCCTTAAATTATTAATTTCATAAATGTTTATTAAGTACTTCAGGCACTGGGCTAGGGACCTCCAGGAACAAGGACAAATGAAAGGAATTTGCCCTTGAGGAGTTTTGAGGTTCAGAATAAGCAGATATGCTTAATAACGGACATCTACTCCAAAGGAATCTACATCTAAGATAACCATATGTAAAGTTTAACATTTGACTTCTAAAACGAAACCATTTAGAATCCCATTTTCACTTAGTTATGTGAATTTTATTTCTAGATAGAAAATATAAAAACCATGACTTCAAGTTACTTGGAAACACCTTAAGAAACTAGAAGGGCAGCCTACCAACTATCAAAAAAATGGAAGATGATGGGGCGCCTGGGTGGCGCAGTCGGTTGAGCGTCCGACTTCAGCCAGGTCACGATCTCGCGGTCCGTGAGTTCGAGCCCCGCGTCGGGCTCTGGGCTGATGGCTCAGAGCCTGGAGCCTGTTTCCGATTCTGTGTCTCCCTCTCTCTCTGCCCCTCCCCCGTTCATGCTCTGTCTCTCTCTGTCCCAAAAATAAATAAACGTTGAAAAAAAAAAAATTAAAAAAAAAAAAAAAAAAGGAAGATGAAGAGACCATGGACACTGGAACTGAACAAACCTGGGATTAAGACTCGACTTCTATATATTTAATCACTGTGATTATAAGCATTTTCCTTGACTTAACCCTTTATTTCATCATTTGTAAATATAAAGAAAATATGTACTCATACAAGTTTCTTGTTAAAACGACAATAAATGAGAGAACATGGCTATAATGGTTCAAATCCTCATCTCCTTGTCCAGCTTTCAGGTCACAACTAGCAAGCCTACAACCAGCGTTAAGTCCTGGTGGTCAAGAGGGTCAACAGACACTACATGCATCCATCAGGCCCAGTGCTCCAGACACAAATTCTTTTGGGGAGTTAACAGAATACAAATGGTAAGTAAACACAGCCTCTCAGAGGCTAGAAATAGTCCAGGCTTGCTGTCAAAGACAGCAATGTAGTATCTTTCTTTTTTAAAAAACTGCTTATAGTTTCACCATTTTCTAAGAAAAGAAAATTACATCATACTCACTTATGTTCATTCACTTACTATCCAGTAAGTGAACATAACCCCTCCAACCCTACTCGTAAAGGAAAAGAGTATGGGTTTTAAAGGCAAGCTGAAACCAGGGTTGAATTTCCCAATGTGTGTAATCCCAGAGAAGTTACTATTTCACTAGAGTTTCAATTTTCTTAGCTTAAAGTTAATCTGAACATACAGGAGGCATAAGTAGACATATTACACCCATCATAAAAAAAGATCAAGGGCAAAATGTTATGGAAATTCAAGGTGCATCATCTTTAGCTGACAGAGTGAAGACGGCCTGACACGTAATTCCCAAGTATCTGCCATGGGCCAAGCACCTTGCTAGATGCTTTACATGCATCATCTCATTTAGTGAACAAAACCTTGCCTTGGTCAGTGTATTTTT